TTTATTAAATTTTGCTTTTATTCCCTATTTCCTTACTAGTTTGTCAATCTTTTTATAAAGTACTTAGGAGGGCAAAGGTAAAAAATGTGAAAAGATCTTTGTGTTTTCCCAGTTTAAAGAAGCATTCTTAAGTGAGTTGATGATATTGTCAATTAAGAGGCGATAATTTTCATTAAGTAATATTTTGTTTTATGTCTATTCGGCTCAGTAACAGTATAGTCTCTATTGGCTAATCCTGTACAATGGAAAAATCATTAATTTTTAGCGAAAAACCCTCGTTTTGCAACTATATTGTTGAGTTTTATTAAATATGATCTTAGTTATCACGGAGGGTCTTTTTCCACAACGTAATAACAAACTCACATGCACACAGGCAAGTCCGCATGGATACATATTTCTTACCTGAACAATGACATGAACTAATCAAAGCATTATATACTTAACAAAATTGCATAGGTTCGGAGTAAATACAAAGCGTGTAGGGATGAGTCTCGAGTATTTGAAAGGATGGGACACAGATTAGCTGATTTTCGTCATATTGTCCTGTTTTCAGTGTTGTTTTCTGCTCGGTTCGACCCCCGAGTTGTTTATCATCATCCAGTCAACGACTGTTGCCTAAATTCTCACGAAAAAAGCAACTTCCCAGCCTTAATTCTGCTACTAGTGGGAAAACAGTGGTCACAACTGCCCGTGATTATTTGTGTTTTTGGTGGGAGAAACGGTACTGAAAGAAGGCTTTACCTACGGGCACATCATGTCCGAACAGTCGCGCCATGAGTCAAGCAGCTCGATGACACATGGCTTATGACACCATCCGCCCAGATTTTTGTCATCTTACCACTCCTTTATGCTCTAACCTGTCTCCATTCTCTATCACCCCGACTTCCCGCATCCCAACTCCTCGTCTGGACATGGCGTCAAAGACCTGCCTGAATTTCCGGCGCTCGCCGATGACGAGTTGTCCATTCACATGGGCAACACGGCTCGCCTCGTCTGTCACCTGCCCCGGGCTCAGCCGAGCATGGCGACTGTCAACTTCCTGCTCGAAGGTCGCCCTCTTGACATGACATCCGGTGAGTGGACCGACCCACCAAAGTCACACTAAACATGACCAAGCTGTCCAGTTGTCTTTGTGTCGAACTGGGCACAAATATGCCCATTCGCATGTATGACTTTGTCTTACAATTTACTTAAATACTGAATTGAATGTATTACCAAGTGATGGAAGTCCAAATGATGTCAGAAAGGATGGGACTGTCACCGAAAGAAAAGAAATATAGCGTCAAAAATTGACCGGATCAAACTTTGAGGAAACTGTTTTTTGTACTCTCTGAGTCGATTTCTACCTATCCGACTTTCATTTTGTATGAAAGTGTAGGAAGAAAAGATTCAAAGGTCGATCTCACCAAAAGAGGACTATTGACGTTGTACTGCTTCTATACGACGTTGAGATATACGCACTCCACGAGACCTCTTTTCTCTTTTCGAGTGAAAACGAGATGAGCTTTCGTCCATCATTCGATGGACATCATCAGAGCTGCAGTACAATGGGTTCAAATGTCCTCTTCTGGTGAGATCGACGTTAAAATCTCTTCTTCATACCCTTTTATTACGAAATAATGTTATTTCAGAAGATTAATTGAAATCCAGTTATTCTTCATATCTACAATGAGTCGATTTTTATTTAGTTGGAAAAGTTGATTGGAAGAGACGTGATAATTGGCCCCACCGAAGACCGAAGGAGAATTTTCTTGGAGTGAATTCTTTTTGAATGTGAAAGGTTGTCTTAAAAAAAGAATTTTACCAGCATATATGATTTAAGGACATATTTAAGAATAACTGAAAGTTTTGAAGACTACTTTTATCTAAAATAAGTAGCATAATGATTATAATGGTAATAAATTGTTAATTTAATCGACAGTCCCATTATAAACGTAATTTCAATGAGGCCTGTCATTCCGTGAATGTCATATCTGTCCTGTGATTTACTGGAACCTGTGGCTATTTAGTGGAGGAGTTACTTCGCCATGATACTCACAACTCGCTATCACATCCTACTAGGGGTGCTAATATGACCTTAAATGTGGTTCACCCTGAATGGGATTCAATTACCATTCCTTCATCAGCTTAAACGAAATGGGATGAATAAAATTAGATTATGAAATCTAATGATGGTCCCGAAAGCCTTCTCATGAACGACAGCTAAGCTATCATTTAATATTTCTTTTCATCAAAGATCCCATCACAGAAATCTGATATTTGAATGGTCTAGACTTCCTTGAATTTTACTTCTGACACGTGGCACAAGAGGACTCGTGACAGTGGCGTAGTGGTTACCGTGTCGAGAGTATACCCTG